CCTGGGATGGAGCCCCACATCAGGTTCCCTGCTCTGCGGCGAGCCTGTTTTTCCCCTCTTCCTTTCCCTCTGCTGGCTGCTCCCCCTACTTGTGCTCACACTCTCTGTCAAACAAATAAATAAAATCTTTAAAAAAAAATTTTAACTGTCATCTTTGTAAGTAAAAAAATTATTTAACATTAACAGAACTATTCATGGGGCTAAATATTCTTTTTAGCTTTTGCTGAAATATATTAACAATTTTTTAACACTTGCTATTTTGTACATTAAATATGTATTCAATTATATTAATAACTATGCCACAAAACGATCTGTTGATTGTCATGTTTAATTGTATCAGACCTAATCCTTCAGCCCAGATGAGAAGTAATATAATACAGCAGTTAAAAGCATAAGCCAGAATGACCTTCCTGCTTTTGTTTCCTCAATTAAATATTCCTGGTACTGAGATTTATGTTGGTGGTCATTTTCATTAATAAAATGAGTGTTGCTGACACCCATGATGGGCAGGTATTCAGTGGGTTTTAGCAAAACGATCCCACTAAATAATGGTGAAATTCAATAGGAATGATAAAATTAGGGATCTGTATCCCAGGAGTACTGACATAAATCATCCCCATAGGCCCCACTCATCTGCTGTGGATTGAAATCTGTCATGGGAGTACACATTATACCAAGAGTATGTTTGGATACTGCTTACAATAGTGTTACTTTCATTTGACTGCCCTGTTCATCTCTCTGGAACTCCCCAGAGGCTGCAGTTCTCACAAATGACTATGTGAGAATGACTGAGATTGCCTGTGAAAGGCAGGCAGCCCCACACTTAGGGAAGCCAAATGGTCACTGGGCATTATCTTAAAGATTTTTTGTGGTGGGGAGTGTATCTAGCATGGATAAAGAGCAATTAGAACTGATGTTATAGCTCTCAAGTGAGATGTTTGTTGGCAGCTTGCAGTGCCAGCTCTTAATTCTGTAGTTGGTATATAATGCGTTGCTCTGGGAGGTTCCATGGAAGACATTCAGGGATCTTGGGGCAGTTAACTATTTAACCACTATGGACATATATCAATACTTTAACAACTGGTACTGCTGAAACAATGTGTACTAGCTGAGTATCAGGTCTGAATGCAGTGTACTGCTCGTCAGAGCAAGATTTTATTAAGCGGTGGTGTTTATCATATGTTTTGTGTCTACCTGACTGAGGTATACTATAATGTACATTAAAATCTTCCTCTATGATAAATTTGTCCGTTTTCTCCTTAAAGTTACCAATTTTTGATTCATAGATTTTCAATCTAAAAGACTCATTCAATTCAAAACTGTTTTATCTTTCTCGTGAATTGAGCTTTCATGAACATGATGTGATCTCCTATCTCTAGTAATTTGGCCTAAAATCCTAGTTTGTATAGTAATATAGCTCACCAGCTTTAGAGTGTGTTTGATATATTCTCGTCTATCCTACTGAACATCTAGTACTATTATATTTACTGTAATTAGCAATATTTGGACTTATTTTTGGCCATTCTTTGGTTTTTTATTTATTAAACCTTTTCTACTTTTTTTTCTTTCCCTTTCTTGTCTTCTCTTGGAATATTTTTTTCTCATTGCACTATTTTTTCCTTGAGTAGTCTGGAAAGAATATATCTTTTATTATCTTTTGGTCTTGCAATCTTGCAAACTTTAATATGCAAACGTTAAAAACAACAGTTAATATGTTAAATTCTTCCTGAAGAAAATAAGAAATTTAGAACACCCCTTCAAAATTTATTATTTTCTTCAATTTTAGTTCCATCTTTTTAAATTATCACTCTCATAAGTACTCCTTTGAAGGTCTTTTTTCTCTAGCTTTTAAGATTTTAATATTTGTTTTAGAGTCACTGCATGCCTAGAAAGGATTCCTGCTTGGGGTCTATTGGGCATCTTAAATCATGATCTTGTGACTTTCTTAAGTTCTTCAAGTTCCCAGCTATTATCTCTTCAAATTGTTTTGTTATTATTTTTCCCATTATCTCATTTTCTTCAGGAGCTGACCAAATATATAGTATGCCTTTTTTGTCTATGCTCCATGTCACTAAACCTCCTTCATATTTCCAATCTCTGCATCTTTCTGGCCTCCAGTCTAGATAATTTCTTCATTTCTATTTTCCAATACTACTCTCTATCGCAGTGCCTGATGTGTTTTCATAAAAGAAAGCCTGACAAATTTCCACATATTATTCTCTAATCTATTAACATCAAATTTCATTTTATAAAATGTCCTCTTAGGAAGTGATACTTCTTTTGATTATATTGTTACTGTAAAAACATTTTTAGAATTCTTTAGAAATTACCTCTACTCCAGGTATCCTTTCATTTCTTTTTTAGTGTCAAATCTTTCCAGTCTGGTCTCTATTAAATTCCTAATTTTAATTCTAACCTTCTGTGTCTCTTCTTCTCTGTACTGAGAAGTCCTTATAAATAACAGTGATAATGGTACCCAGTAAGCTGATTTAACCCATATAACTGAAGGATATAAGAAATTATATAACACAGATGTCATTTTTCTAGAAAATTAAGTCCTATAAAAATCTGAAGCATATTAGACGTAGTAAGAATACTAAAAAATTATAACATTTAACTATTTTCATCTATCACCTTGACACAGATGAAAAAGAATGGCAATGTGTAATATTGGCAAAAGTATGGGGAGACGGGCACTTTCATATGTGTGTGATAGAATGAGAATTAGTAAAATCTTCACATAGGGGAATTTAATAATAGGTCTCCAAAATCTTCATAACTTTCACCCATTCTAGAGAATTATCATGAGGATATAAATCTAAAAATGTTTCTAAAGGTTTTACTTAAACTAATGAAAAATGTTAAATAATGTAAAAATATATTAACATAGGTAATTCACAATATATTGCATGAAAAAGAACAGGCAACAAAATAACATGATTCCATGTGTATGTTAAAATAAACATATGCAGGGGCACCTGGCTGGCTCAGTTGAAGAGCATGTGACTCGATCTCTGGGTCATGAGTTCGAGTTTTACATTGGGTGTAGAGATTACTTAAATAAATACCTTTAAAATATAAGCAACACACACACACACACACACAAAATTCCCTGGACAGACTTTTAAGCTCTGGGATTATAAATGATGTTTAACTTCTTTCTGTTCATTTATTGCCTAGATTTTCTAGAATGAGTATATATCAATTGCAAATTAAACATTATTAAATTATTTAAGTACCAGAGTGCCTAAATACTTTTTACAAAAATGTTTGTATGGGACTATGTTGTCCTGGTTCAAACAAAACTATCAGTAATATATTCCTCATTCTAATAGCACTGGCAATGGGAATTTCCTCTTCATAACTCATTCTACCCCTCTCATCATGTACCTAAAATCTCACTTCCAAAGAGTAAAAACAGCTATTTCTGAAAGCCTGACAGAACAGATAGGAGGGTGAGAGGAGAGGAGTTGGGGTATGGAGAAGAAAGGAACTGAATGTTTATGAAGGAGAGATTCTTCGTATTTTGGGAGGAGCTTTAGGAATAGGGCTTTGTTGGAGAGAGCACTAGGAGAGGTTACACGAATAAACTTCAGTAGTTCCTCCTCCTTACCTGTATTCAGCACATTCATTGCTACAGGTTCCACCCAACTGCTATAAATAGAAACCCCAGAGATCCTAGTACCAAGTAGAATTAGGAAGAAGCAAATGCATCAATGAAGTGGAATATGGTGTCCCTCCTCACTGTGATTCCAAATTCTGCTACTTTTCTCCTTCCTAGCACATTTTAGTTTTTTTCTTAAGCAAAACATTTTGCCTTGTTAAGCCATCATCTTTCAGCTTCTCTAACATGACATACTGGCCCTCCAACCATAAGTCCTTTGACATACCAATTCCTCCATCTGGACTACTTCTATCTCCTCCCCTACCCTATCTTGGTTAATTCATCTTCTACTCATTTTTTTTTTTTTTCTGTTTTTTGGTTAACTGTCACTTCTACAGCAAAACCTCAAACACCCTGGTGTGTACAGTTGGTTCCTTCAAGCCTTTATCTCGATTTACAAATACACATTATGAAATTTTTAGTATGGTTATTTAGCATGTAGTTGAACCAGTAAGTCCCAAGTTTAGTAAGACTGGTGGTGCCATTAGCTGGTTTGGCTCACCAGTGCAACTTCTGCATCTGGAACATAGCAAGTGCTCAACAAGTATTTATTGAATGAGGGAATGAATAAGTGGACAGCTACGCAAATGACGAGAATCCAGAGGCCTTGATTAGGTAGGAGTTGTTATGTTAACCATCTCCTCTCAGGGTGGGACTGTGTGTAATTCTCTTCCTTTGTTGTTGAACTTGTTCGTGTATTCACCAAAGTTTTAAAAAAATACATATTATTTTGAAAATTCCTCATAACGCAGAGTAAACCGAGACCGAATAGGAAATATTTAATCTGCCAGGAGACAGAAGCACGCAGTCCTGGCTGGGGAAGTTCACAAATGCCCCGCAGCCCAGGACACCCCGCTGCCGCGTCTTACTATCCTCCAGGAGCAAAGGAACACGCACACTGTCCCCTCACGGCAGGTCAGGCACCGAGTACGTGGAAGCTGCAGGCTCCCTACCCTTGCCAGAAGCTTCGGTGAGAAAAGCGCAAGCCTGGGATGACAGGGTAAGAACGAGCATCTCCTCAGCGCGTTGTTTGCTAGGCCTGTACTGTGTACCAGAGAACCCTAGCTCGGGCCCGGCTCTGGCAGACCCGCGGGGTGACGGGCCCCACGCATTTCTGCTTCACAGAGCTCCGCGTCCCGAGGCGCACAAACGAGTCCCGGGCCTGCCTACCTCCAAGGGCCGGGCCGGGACCTCCAACAGCCACAGAGCGCTTCAGAAAGTGTCGGGGGGCCTGCAGGCCGGCGCCCCCCGAGCGGGCCGCCGCCCGCGGGCAGCAGAGGCAGGCGGAGGCGGGCACCCGCCCTCCGAGGGGCCGCGCTTACCCGTCGGGCGAGTACTCGAGGTTGAAGACGGCGCCGTGGGTGCGGGTGCTGAGGTACACCGAGTCCGCGGGATGGATGGAACCATAGAGGTTAGTCATGGTGCGGAAATTGTCCCGCGCCGGGTCCACGAACAGCCCGCGGCCCAGGCTGCGCTCTCTCAGCCACCCGAACAGCCGGGCGCCGGGGCCGCCCAGGCCGACGCCGACGCCGACGCCGTGGCGGCCCCGGCTCCCGGCCCTGCAGTCTGGCCCGGGTCGCCGACGCGGCGGGGAGGGCGGTGACGGCTCTCCCTGGGCGGAAGCGGCTGAGGAGTCCAGGGCTCCGGGCGGCCCAAGCTCCCCGACGCGCGCGGCCAGGGGCAGCGAGGGGGCGCCGGGGCGGCGAGGGCTCCGGGAGGGCGACGGGGGAGGGGCTGCGTCAGCCCCGGGCTGCGGCGGAGCGGGCGGGGAAGGGAGCGGCCCGCCGGCTGCCGCCTGCCCCGCGCGGGGTGCCGGCTCCTCGGCCCCGGCTCCGGCCGTCCCATCCTCTCCGGGACTACCGGGCCCGAAGGGAAACATGACCGACGCCCCCGCCCCCCGCTCCCGGCCGCTGCCCCGCCGGCAGACACCTCAGCGCTCCCGCTCCAGCCGCCACTTCCGGCGTGCGACCGCCTAACCCCGCCGGCTGGGAAACGCGCGCCGCCGCGACCGCCCTCCGTTGGGGACCGCGAAAGCGGGGACACCGCCCATGGCAGGTGCTTTATGCCGGGGGCGACCAGCTGTGTCTGAGCGTAACTGGGAGAACTCAGAGCTCGGGCTGCACAGGGCAGTGTTAGCATCAGGGCACCCCTGCGACAGTCTGTAGCTGTCAGTCATCGTGACTGTGTGTCTGGGGATGCATGGGCCTGAATACTCAAAGTGGTGGACCAAGATTATGTCCTTATCCCCAATTTACTCTAAGGTCACAAGGGGAAAAAACTTCCATATTATGTGCAGGCCCCACATAGTAAGTGGCACGGTATATTGCCTACTCAGACTGGGAGCCTAGGACTCAAGCTCACCGTTGCCCTAAAAGCCCAGATCTGTGGCGTCTCGGTGGTTCAATCAATGAGTTAAGTGTGGAGCTCTTGATTTCAGCTGAGGTCATTATCTCAGGGTTGTGAGATGGAGCCCTTCTTGGGTATCCCAGCTCAGTGGGAGTCTGCTTGAGATTCTCTCGCTCCTCCTCTCTCTGCCCCTTTCCCCTGCTCTCTTTCTCAAGTAAATTAAAAAAAAAAAAAATCTTAAAAAAAAAAGAAAAGAAAAAAGAAGTCCAGGTCTATACAGAGCCTGGAAGGAAAATGGTGTCTATCAGTGCTCTGAATATTTGCCCAACTCCCAGCTACTGCCCAGCAAGGTCAAGATTTTATCAAGGCCGAAGTCTTCCTCTCCTCAGGAAGGAGCATATATCCAGCAGGAGCCACTGAGTGGAGCTGGAGACCTAAATCAAATCAACCTTACAAGCAACAGAGCCCCAGGTCAAATCCTGCTTACATGTTTCAGGCAGGGCACGGACGGCATGATGGGTACAAGGCCCTTCACCAGGGCTGTTAGAGATCAATATACAGAACTTATTTGTAAAAGAGTTAATGGGAACTGATGTGTGTCTTGGGAAGGGAAGGAGAGTCTACAATAAAGCAAGGCTTGAGGTACAAGGGAAAGGTGGATATAAGAACTGACAACTCTTCTAGGCCTTGATCAAGAGCTATGTTGTAGAAGGCTCACATGTGATGACTGAGGAGGAACCTGGAGGATCTTTGTAGAAGAGCTATCCTGTGAGGACAGATCTGAAGGATCTCTACAGTAAGAATGAGATTCGGAAAGGGCTGAACATTCAGCAGGTCCTCCCATCAGGTAAGTTAGTTCTTCAGCTATTGTCCATGAGCTGATTGAAAAAAGGGCAAAAAAGGGATCCCTGGGTGGCACAGCGGTTTGGCGCCTGCCTTTGGCCCAGGGCGTGATCCTGGAGACCTAGGATCGAATCCCACGTCGGGCTGCCGGTGCATGGAGCCTGCTTCTCCCTCTGCCTCTCTCTCTCTCTCTCTGTGTGTGACTATCATAAATAAAAAATTTAAAAAAAAGAAAAAAGGGCAAAAAGCAAGCATCCTGAATTCAGAGATCAGGCATCCATTCCTCTGGAGATACTCTCCATGTTGCTCCACAATGTAGGTGGTGTAGAAGTCTATTTTGTAATTAAATAATAATGGCTGCTAATAGAGGCCCTCTGTTTGGCCCCTAAATTATGGCCAATGGCTAAAATTTTATGGTGACCATTTACCAATACTATTTTTAATAGGTTAAGTAAAACAATTTTAAAAGGTTACATACATATTCCAAAGTATTTATGATATAGTTCCAACAGAAAAATACAAGCTCTGCAATGAAAGTTTGTGCTGCCTCAAGGTAACAGATTTCACAGTTCAGGCAATTCAAAATTAACACAGTATAGTGGTAATAGTAGTAAAAGTGGTTAAGAAATATTCACTAACAATTTAGAGAATCTAGAGAAGCCAAATGGGAAGAAAAAAAATTGTAGGTTTGCATATACCACTATCAGCTAGAAAATAAGAATGATTCTTGAGCAGCTAACCAAAAAACAAAACAAAACAAAAGGCAGTAGCAGCTGTAACACAGAACAAGTCATTCAGTAATGCTAAGGGTTTTGTTTTCTTTCTTTCTTATGCTTCTATTTTAAAATGTGAGTCCCGTGGAGGGCAAGATGGCGGAAGAACAGGTCCCCAATCACCTGTTCCCACCAATAACCTAGATAACCTCAAACAACCGAAAAACTACGAATTCGGCCTGAGATGTAAAGAAGACCACTGGAATGCACAGTTAGAAGATCCGCGCTCTATCAAGGTAGGAGACGGGGAAAAAGAAATAAAGGAAATAAAAAAAAACAAAAGGCCTCCAGGGGGAGGGCCCCACGAGGAGCGGGCTGAGGCCGGGCGAGTGACCCCAGTACGAGAGCCCCGTCCCGAGAAGCAGGACTGCACCAACCTTCCCGGGCGGGCGGAAAGGGCTCGCAGGGAGTTGGAGCAGGACCCAGGAGGGCGTGATGCCCTCGGGCTCCCGGGGACACTAACAGACACCTGCCGAGCGCAGGTGAGTGCGCCGAGCTCCCTAAGGGCTGCACGCGCGCGGACGGACGAGGGGCTCGTGAGCGCCTCCAGGGAGGGAGCTGCAGCGGGAGCGCAAATCCAACAGCGGCAGACCCCGGAGCACAGGGCGCGGGGACACAGCCCAGGATCCGTCCTCCCCCGGGACAGGACAAGGCCGGAGGGCCCAGTACAGCGAGGACGCTCCTGCCCCTAGCGAGCAGATCAGCGGCCCGCCCCGGAGCCTCCAGCCCTGCAGACGGGAGTACCGAGAGCCCCGACCCCGTTTCCTGCGGAGGCTAAATTCCAGGCTTCCAGAGTTTGCCAATACAACTGCTTGCGTTCCTCCTGGGCCCACGGGTAAACAAGGGTAAACAACCCCCCGCCTGAGCCCGGCACAGCAGGGCAGAGTAAAAAAAAAAGCTCCTCCCCCAAGTGCTAACACCTGAAAAATCAGCGCAGCAGGTCCCGCCCCCAAAGACACTAGACGACCAGTGAATACTCCCCCGTGTTCCAATACAACTTGGTTTTTGGGCCAACTCCTGCACTGAGCAAAATGACTAGAAGGAAAACCTCACCCCAAAAGAAAGAATCAGAACAGCCACCTCTCCACAGAGTTAACAAAATCTGGATTACACTTCAATGTCAAAAGCCAATTCAGAGCAATATTCAACAGCTAACTGGTGGCTCTCAGAAAAAAGCATTAAGGACTCACGAGACTTCATGACTGCAGAATTTAGATCCAATCAGGCAGAAATAAAAATCATTTGATGAGATGCAATCCAGAACTAAAGTCCTAACGACAGGTTAACGAGGTGAAGAACAGTGAGTGACTATAGAAGACAATTTATGGCAAAGAGGAAACTGAGGAAAAAAGAGACAATCCAATTAAGGGACCATGAAGACAGATTACGGCAATAAAGTGACATCTAAGGAGAAAAACCTACGTTAATTGGTCCCGAGCGCCGAAAGGGCCAGAGGCCAGAGAATGTATTTATGAACAAACTCCCTAGCTGAAAACTTTCCAATTCTGGGAAGAGAAACAGGCATTCCAATCAGGAAATAGAAGAGATCCCCCCCTAAAAACAATTAAAAAACGATCAACACCTCGACATTTAATAGTGAATCTTGCAATTCCCAAAGATAAAGAGAAGATCCTTAAAGCAGCAAGAGACAGAATCCTACTTTCATGGGTAGGAATATAGGGTAACAGCAGACCTCTCCACAGAGACCTGGCAGCCAGAAAATGGCTGGCAGATATATCAGGGTCCTAAAGTGAGAAACCATGCCAACCAAGAAATACGTTATTCCAGCAAGGCTCTCAGTCAAAATGAAGAAGATAAAGACTTCCAAATAGGCAAACTGAAAAAATGTACCTCCAAACCACTCTGCAGAAATTTTAAGTGTTCACTCTAAAACTCCCTTTAAGAGAAGTTCATGGAACAAGCACAAAGAAACAAGACAAAATAGATATCATGATGACACTAAACTCATATCTGTCATTAATAACCTCGAACGTGAATTGGCTTAATGACCCCTCCGAAAGTCGCAGGGTTTCAGAACTGGATAAAAAAAAGCGGACCCCATCTATTGCTGCCTACAAGAGACTCATTTTAGACAGAAGACACTACAACTGAAAATAAAGGTGGAGAACCCATTTACCATTCAAATGGTTCTCAAATATACCCTAAAACTATAGAACACTTCGAAAGAAGATTGAGGAAGACACAAAGAGATGAAAACTATTCCATGCTCAGATTGGCCAGAATTAATCTTGATGAAAATGTCAATGTTACCCAGGCAATTTACACGTATAATGCAATCCCTATCAAAATACCATGGACTTCCTTCAGAGACTTATGAACAAATATTTTAAGATGTGTGGAATCAGACAAAACAAAAAAAAAACAGACCCCAATAGCCAGGGAATTTAAAAATGAAAACCATATCTGGGCATCACAATGCCAGATTCAGGTTGTACTACAAAGCTGTGTTCATCAAGACAGTGTGGTACGGCACAAAAACAGACACATAGACATGGAACAGAACAGAGAACCCAAAGTGGACCCTGACTTTATGTTAACTAATATACGATAAAGGAGGAAAGACGATCACTGGAAGAAAAGACAGTCTCTTCAATAAAGGTGCTGGAAAATTGACATCCACATTGCAGAAGAATGAAACTGTACACTCTCTTGCACCATACACAAAGATAAAACTCAAAATAATGGAAAGATCTAAATGTGAGAACAAGAATCCATCATAATCCAAGAGAACTCAGCAACACCCTTTTGAACTTGGCCACAGTAACCTGAAGGACAGTGTTTTTCTCATCATTTGGGGAATAAGAATAATATGAAGGGAATATAAGGGAAGGAGAAGAAATGTGTGAAAATATCAGAAAGTTGAGACAGAACAAAAAACTTCAACCTGGGAATGAACTAGGGGTGTGAGGGTAGGAGGGCGGGGGGTGTGGTGAAAGGTGGACGGCACTTGAGGGTACAACTTTGACGGATGACACTGGTGTTATCTGTATGTTGGTATTGAACACCATAAAAATTAATTTATAAAAAAAATGTGAGTCCTCACATATCAAATATTTTTTGCTAAAACCTAAAATAATAAATTATTTAAGGACTAAAATTCTATTGAGATGACCATGATTTTACAACCCATCAGTTAAAAAAAATTTACTAGAAGTTAATTGAGAAGGCACTAAAGATAAACTTTCTGTGACTATTTACCCACTGCCTTTGAGAGCCTTCAAACACAATCATGTCAACAGGAATGACTGCAAATCACAGTTTACATAGACCAATTTCTATGTAACACTATTTCTGAGTACTAAAAAACTTTCAACTTCAACAGCTCAGCTTCACAGATATCAGTTCATCAGAAATGCCTAAGCATCCTCTGAACTTCTTTCCCTTGATGTTCCTTTCAGATCACAACACAAGGAAGCAATTGGCAAATGTTTCCCCTAAGCCTGGTATCACATGTCCCTGGATACTCCCAACACTTAGGATCTATCTCATTGAGCAGACAGAAAGCCAATTCATTTACTCTCTTCCCTATCTACTGACTAGATGTTTTTTAAAAATTACTTCCTAAGTGATGCCTTATAATATCATGTGCCTGAAATAATGCTGGTCTTTCTGTTTAGGCTTTTATACTTTGGGAGCAGCAGATTCACTCCTGATATCTTTGACATCATTCTTTATTGGGAACAAGATTGACAAAATGAGCAAGGCAGATGGACAAGGCAAAAAAAAAGGCTGAAATGGCAGCGATATCCCAGGCATTTTCCTGATTGAAGCCATGCATCTCGAGCTTTTTGAAATGGTCATCTATTACATCATTAGCTTGGGAAATAAGAAGTACAAACTCCAGCATTGCCTTCACCCGAGCAGAGAGGTTAGACTTTCTCCACTTCACGCAGACCTGCAAGAAAACACACTGTCAAAAGCAGAATCTCTGTTCATCACAATACAGCCGAGAATACAAAAGGCCTAACAAAATGAAAAGACGCAAGGTTAGAATAAAGGGGCAAAGTCAGGACAAAATAAACTTTCCAGTGTGATGCAAACTTGAAACTCTGGCTCAACCCTACCTCTGCAAAGAAGTCTTCTTTGCTCACTCAGCTACAAGCTCCTCTAAATACTCATGGCACCAAAAATCTCAGAACCAAGACTCAGAGACTCTAAGTACATAATGACTCTGAATCCAAACTTTTTCTTACGAGTAAAGTGAAGCTCAGATAATTGAGCTTCACTTTGTCCCCAATTAATCCTACACAAGACATAATATGTGTAAAATTAATAGCTAACACTTAGCAATTACTATGTGCTAATAAGAATGTGCTCAATGCTTCATATTCATTATGTTATTGCTTACAAAAATCCTAGGAAGTAGTATTTTTATTATTGTCCCCATAATATTGGCAAAGAAACTAAAGCTCAGAGAGGTCAAGTGACTTCCCCAAGGTCATAGAGTTGGAAAGAGGCAGAGCAGGGAACTGACTCTAACTGTATTTGATTCCAAAGACTTTATTTATAATCATTACACTTGCTCAAGAAAAATGCTGATGAAAACCATCAAACACCTAAAAATAGAAGAATAGTTCAGCAAACCATGGTATGACAGCCCATACTATGGCCACCAGAGAAGCAATGATCTTGGATGAACAAAGGTCTGGCAAGTAGACAGGAGGCTCTCAGCAGAGCAAAGGGGGAGAGGATGTACCCATCCCAAAATTATCTTCACCTGAAGCTGGCACCTGAAGCCCTTTAGGAACAGTTTACAAGGTCTCCACTCAGGTGGGCTCAGGATGGTAAGCTGGGGGGTGGGAAGACTGATGACCCTCGACCTCAGGGATAAATGCAGAGACTGATGTTTCTGTTCCCTGGCCCAGAGGATCAGGAATTTCAGCATAGGGATCAGGACTTTTTAAGTTTGGTGGTGACAAACCCATGTTTGCTGTGTCTTTACCCTTAGTTCATTTCTCTGTGAAGAATTAGCATGACCTCTGACACCCAAGGGCCTAGCTTTGGATGAAGGAGATAGTAAGTTATTGGCTGGGGGAGTGAGACCCATTTCACAACCCCTCTTGGTGGGAAAGATAAGATGAAGGCAGTTCTAGAAATGAGAGGCAGACAGGTATAGGCTTGGGGCCAGCAGCAAGAAATAAAAGAAAACCTAAGAAACTGGTTTGGGCCCATGAGGAATAATTAGTGGCTAAATTCACACTGGCAAATGCAAACAATATAATGTAACAGAAACAGTGCAAGCTTTGAAAATGGACTGTCATATTCTAGTTGCATGCTCCATGTTAAGTGACAGCACTGAACATCAAGGATAAAATGGTTATAATAAGGCTCAACTTGGAGAGGAAGCTGTATGCATTTGAAAGGTCTGTCAGGTATCCAGGATCAGGTCTGCCACAAACCTGGGGCTCAGCTAACCCCTAGTCCCAAACATCATGTACACAAAGAAAGAAGCAGCTGGGCACAGTGATGAGACTGGAAGGGAACTCAAGCAATGGGAAGAGCTCAGGGGTGGGGGGCGTGGGGAGAAGCAGGTGTTCCCTGCACCACATAGTGGCATGGACCTTTCCTTTTCCTTAGATATGAAGACACCCTGAAACTGGCACAGGGGAGGGACATGGGCACCAGCCTGGTCAGAGAGCACTGGGTTCTTCGAGTAGACCCTGTACCAGGTACTGTGGACAACCATGCTGTATGGGTACCTGTTGGCCAGGCTGGTCAACTACAATGATGAGTTCCTTGTCAACTCAGATGAGCTGGTTTAGGAAGGGAGGGGAGAGGACCTGTCCATAAACCTTGGATATCAGGTCAGAAGAACCTAGACAGGTTCAGCCATGTTTTTTAAAGGTTTTATTTATTCATGAGAGACAAAGAGAGATACAGACAGACAGACACAGGCAGAGGGAGAAGCAGGCTCCATGCAGGGAGCCCGATGTGGGACACAATCCCAGGTCTCCAGGATCATGCCCTGGGCCGAAGGCAGCACCACACCGCTGAGCCACCAGGGCTGCCCGGATCAGCCATATTTTAGCAACAGATTTGTCCACCTTCTCACCTACCCCTTCACTTAAGCATTCATTCCCAGTCTCTTGCTATCAACTACCCTATTTATTTTCTTCATAATACTCAACACTTCTGAAGTTAACCTATTCTTTTATTTTCTTTAGTTGTTCATTCTTTTCTCCTCTCTAAAATACATCTGAAAGCCTAGAAATTTTTCTGACTTGTTCAGAGGAGTGCCTGACATATAGGGGTTGCTCAGAAAATGTGTTGAATATATTACTAAAGTTCCAGAAACAATTTCTGAGGCCCACCAGGTATTGGACTAACACATTCAAAAGAGGAAGGAAAAAGAAAAAAAGACTTCCTAACCTCAGGGGACCTACTACATGGGGATAGGGAGAGGCAGGGAAGGGAGGAATTCATTTTGGCACTGGTAACATTCTGGGAACTTTACATATGTAACCTTATTTCATCCTTGTATCAGCACTACAGAATGGGTATTAATACCGTTTTACTAATAAGGAAACCAAAGCTCTGAGACATTTAAGTACTTGTTGAGGTTCATGTGCATCATTTATGGCAGAACTCAGATGTGAACACAGGATCTATCTCTTCCCACCAGGAGACAGGAGCTGTGGAAGCTGTGAAAAGGTAGGGCAGACAGCACTCTGTATGCCACTGGAAAAGGACAGATGAAGGATGCTGTGGGGGGTCACAGAAGGAAGTATCTCTTTTAAGTAAAGACAGGTGAGATGGACTTTGAAGGAAAGATCATATTCACAAGGCATGGACAGGAGGAAAGGCATCTCAGGGGCACAACAAAGGGTGGACAAAGGTAAAGAGTGGATAAATCATGAGACCTGAATGCTTCAGAGTAGAATTAGGTCTACTTTCATTCCAACAGATGGAACACACAGAGAGGCTGAGGGAAATGAGGCTGGGAAGGCAGGCTGGTGTCAGGCCACAGAGTCTCATTGTGACATGCTGTCTTCTCTTCAATAACAGAATCCCTTCATTTTAGCCATGCATATGAGCACACAGCCTCCCTTGCAGCTAGCTGTGATCATGTGATTAAGTTCTGGCCAGTGGGATGCAGACAGAAGTGATGTGTGTGACTTTCATGTCAGGACCCTAAAGGGAAGGAATGTGTATCCATAAATGCCCCTTCTTGCTCTTTTTGCTGGTAGCAGTGGTGAATCAGCATGAACATGTAGGCAAGGGCAATCCCACACAGTAAACAACACTAATTTGGTCCTTAGCAGCTTACATAGGGACTGTAAGGTGAGAAGAGAGAAAATAAAAATCTTGTTTAAACCACTGTATCTTTGGGTGTGGATAACAACAACCTAACTTGAATCCTAAGTAAGAAACCCATGATTGCCAGGCTGAAGTCCCTGAACTTCATTTAGGGGGTTATAGGGAGCCAGAGGGCTTTTAAGCCCAACATAAGAAAGATGAACCACAGTCATTACCTAACTTATTTCGGTTCTATATTGACAGTTATATAGTTAAATTCAGAACCCAGCTTCAGAATCCAAAGGATGTCTCAACAAACTAGTCTTTCTTAACTTCTTTCTAGCTCCACAGTGATGTGGAACTATGTGAGAAGGAACTCTAGCAAGCAAGCATCTGGATTTCATCTAAGAATGATTTAGCACTGTTTTTCTATTTACCTGTTTCCTTGTTGTATGTGGCATTATAATAAGCAAAGAAGGCTCTGAATTCCAATGGCCAGTGAGACAACATTTTGAAAATATTTGGTAAAAATCCTGTTTGCAGGAAGAAGCACCATGGAAACATAAAATGAAAATTAAGAGCAGAATAGGTGGGACACCTAGGTGGCTCAGCAGTTGAGCATCTGCCTTCCACTCGGAAGGTGATCCTGGGTCTGGGGATCGAGTTCCATATCAGGCTCCCCGCAAGGAAGCCTGCTTCTCCCTCTACCTAGGTCTCTGCCTCTCTCTCTCTCTCTCTCTCTCTCTCTCTCTCTCTCTCATGAATAAATAAATAAAAATCTAAAAAAAAAAAGAGCAGAATAGGTAACAGTAACTGCTAGTCACTATACTGTCAGTTGAATGCCAGATGCTATCATAGGAAGGCCACAGCCTTGGTGTCGAAGTACCCACACATACCTTCACCTTTTAGGGTATTTTTATAACTTATAGTGTTACTTCTAAAGGTACTTGTGATTTTTTGATAAGTAATTTTGTGAATTTTAGACAATGTTATAACTAAACCAAAAGACACTTCTTAGAATTTAAGCTTTACTGATTTCCTACCTTTTTACAGAGGGCCTGGTGGTGCTCATTTCTTTATCTTTTTTTTTAAGAGGCTCCACTGGGTGTGGAGCCTCAGTGTGGGGCTTGAACTCATGACCCTGAGATCAAGACCTGAGCTGAGATCAAGAGTTGGATACTTAACTGACTAAACCACCCAGGTGCCTGATGCTCATTTATTTCTAAGAATTAAATTAATAAGAAGCCTTGATACTAGTAAAGTACTTTGGTTTTTTTTTGTTTTATTTTATTTTTGTTTTGTTTTAAAGATTTTATTTATTTATTTGAGAGGGGGAGAGGACAAGAGTGAGACAGGGGGCAGGGAAAGGAGAGGGAGAAGCAGACTCCCCACTAAGCAGGGAGCCCAACTTGGGGGCTCAATCCCAGGACCCCAGGATCGTGACCTGACCCAAAGGCAGACGCTTAACTGACTGAGCCAGGCAGGTGCCCCTGGTGAAGTACTTTGTAACGTTCTTTCATACATCCCTCTCCATAACTTTGTAAGGTAAGGAAGGCAGTTATCACTATCCCCAGTTTACAAATAAGGAAACTAAGGCCCAGAGAGGTTGACTTGGCCAAGGCCATGCCAAAAGTAAGAGGCAGCCTTGGAATTTTGACATTGGCTTTTCAGTATTTTTCCTTTTTTTTTTTTCCAGTATTTTTCCTAATGGGATGTTATAGCAAACAACTATTGGCTCCATTGCTGTGAAGCTCCAACTAATGGCTCCAGCAGCCATTTTCCCCCTCCTCCCTTGACAACAGAACCTGGATATTGTTCAGATACCAGACTGCCACTGGTTTCAGGGACGGTTAAGCCCTTCTCTAACCCTAGTGGGTGAATCCTGATTGGTCTAAACCAATTATGGTTATTCTATTCCAATTCTTGGTGATTGGTCTGGGAATGGGCATGTGACACCCACTGAATAAAAAACAAGGGGACATCAGCTGGGAGCTTTCTTCTCACTCTAAAAAGAATATGAGGAAGAGGTGCATTCTCCTAACCCCTGGAAGGATGTGATGTATTCTGCTACTATATGGCAATCTAGTGACCAGGAGGGGACAAGTGTTAGCCCAGAGTCATCACACCGAGGAAGACAGAAC